GTTCAGTTGAGTCCTGTGTTTGCACATTAGCAGCTCAGGGACCATATCCACCACCAATGAGACAAACTCTGCCACCTTCCAGTAGTTCATCACGTCCTGTTTCTTTAGCACCTGCCAAATTGATGCTGTCATAAGCTGCAAAGGAGATACCAGAAGGCGCAGTGATGCCAGAGGTAATGAGTCACCTGTAAAGAAAAAGAAACCACTGAAATCTGTACTTCCATTTATGCTTAACCAAAAGCCCATCATTTCAGACTATCCAGTTTTGTTTTGTTTTTTGTTTTTTTAAAAAAGGTTGCATGCCCTGTAAAATTTAATTAATAACAATGAAATGTAATTATGTATGCAAATAATTTACATCTTATATCTAATTGAGAATAGGACAAAAATTGTATATAGACACCATATTGGAAAATCACATTAGCTTGTGATGTTAACGATTACATTACACTAAAATATATATATGATTTTGGGATGTAAACTTTAAGTTATCATTTACAGTTACTTCCGAGACATTATGTGATTTTTTGTATTGAATAATAAAAAACGGTATAATCAATAAAACAAATGTGGTGTTAGACAATAATATTCTGTAGTTCACAGTGAGCAAAAGCGTTTTCGTTCATTAGCTACTGGAGCTTTTTGTTTTTGAATGCAACCTCCAAGTGAATGTTCAACAACAACAATGTTTCTCAAAACTCCGTTACCTTCATTTCCCCCATGTTTGCTACCTAGTCTGTACATTCAGCATTCACGTTCATAAGACATGCGTGTAAAATTATTTGTCAAGGTAACCTTAGCACTAAGGAATAAGACAATAAGCTAGCATACAGAGCTAATTTCAAAGGTATGTTGTATACTTAAGCTAATTTTGCTAGGAACGAATCCCTAAATGTCTGCGTTAACCCAACTGTGACCTGCTCCTAATTGTTTAGAAAATGTGTTTTAGTGTGTTAAGTGTTCCTCCACAAACCGACCTCTGGAGGTGGCCATTAAAACCCCTGAATCCATCTTCTTCTCGGATCGGTGCTGAAAAGTTTGAGTAGCTGCTATTAGCTGTTAGCCTGACAACTACCCACACAGCCAGAGGAAGACACAGCTCTGAACGCGGTCGTTATCCAACTGGAAGCTCTTTTCTAAATTAAGCGAGCTGCTA